CTCAAAAACTGAGTTTTATAGTTTTATAATTGTAATTCTGAAGTTGAATCAGTGAAAAACAAACACACGCTCGCACTCGCATCCACATACACCCACACCCATCCAAACACATATCCACACACACACACACACACCTGCGCATAAAAATCTAGAAACAAGCATTAAAAGCATGAAAGATAGTACCGAAAATCGCATCTGTTCGCATGTCGTTGCGCACTTGCTGCCAGTTCGTCTGACCAATACATCAAGCGCATATCGGTCGCCGGCACCTGAAATTCATTATATTTTTTTTTCTCACTACCGGATGAAGGGGGTCATTTTTTGTTCAATCTGCCAAAACATTACACTGTCCTTTCTATACCGAACAAAATCGTTTCACCATTCTTCCAGACTGCGATGTGTTTGACAGTGTTCTCCGTATTACGCAAACAGTGAAGGAAGACATCGCACTAAGATATTTCACTCATTATCGGCTAAGTATGATTTCTGAATTCGTCTCTCGGCAGCGAGCAGCTACTGTTACCATACTCACTAATGACCAACTGATAGAGTTAGAGGACATAAGAAAAAGGTCTGACATCGTTATACTTAGCGTTACCGCTTCGTCTCAATATCATCGATGGCTTTGAGTCACAGGACTAAAACGTCAGGATTTCCTTGAAAAATTAAATCTTCATTAATTAAATTTCATCAAATTAAATTTCATTAACATACGATTCTTCTGAGCCTGTTGTGTTCTTCCGTAATCACTTCTTTCATATGTTCATTGAGCGGTTCGGAACTGATCAACAAATTCGGATAGCGATTCATCGTCCGTTCATAAGATGGCACTCGTTTTTCCCGCACACGTATCTGATGTCCTGCAGAAATTTTGACATATCCGGCAATTTTAATGATTATTATGCAGATAGATGCATAATGAATTTATGAATCGGCTATAGCATAAGCGTGACTTTTCACTCGGCTCTTTCTTCTTTATCTCCGTTAATCTTGACTTTCCCCACTCGATTCTCCTAATTAATTCTTATCCGTCCATATGCATTCCTGACTCGAATTTCTAAACTTTCCTAACGCTAGATGCATCCTAACCCAAATCAATCAGAACAAAGTCGGACTGCATCTTTTGCCTTTAGCTCTAATAAAGTTATGGTCCTGAAATTTTGCATGCCTAGGGAGTAGTCAAATACGAGAATAGAGTGGAACTCCAGTGAACAAGAAGTGATCCTTGGCTCTAAGTCACTTTTGTGTCCATTTCGACAGTGGCCAATCAATATCCAAAAAAAAAAAACTACTCGCCAGACTTGACACTGCTTGGCATTTACATTTTTAATATGCTTGATTATCTTTAATTCATAGTCTCGCTCGTTCTTCAACTATGCAGCTCGCAGATTTCCCAAATTCTTTTCCAAACTTACAACTTCCCCAAATTTCTTAGCGTTCTATCGCCTTGTGGTCAGTTTGTTGCTGACCATTCTGATATGAAGTTAGTTTCGCCACTTCAAATTTGGTTTACTGAATTTTGAGCAATTGTGTTACGTTTAGGGGAAAAAAACTTTTTTTGCAATATTTCTTCGAACTATTTAGTTGGACTTCCAGGATCGTTTCGGCATATTTTAGCTAATTTTGATATCTCAGTTTTGAGTAAATTTATCTTCATTCCAACCCTTTCCTAATTCGTGAAATTCACGCTTCTTATGCTGAACTACCATATTTTCTATGAAATTCTTATGAATTTAACGAAGCTGTGCGCGAAAATGAGGCGGATCCTTTTTGCCTGTGTATTGTTATACATTATGCAACA